ATACGTCGATACAAGTGACAACTAGTGTGTTTCAACCCGAATGACCATGCGAATGTGGGGGCAAACAAAAGTGAGCGTTTTGACCAAAAATTGACAGTAAAGTTGCTCATTTGGAGTAGAGTTACTATTCCATTTGTTGCAACCAGGTTGCTCATTGACTGCAAACGAAGCAGAATTATATGACTCCGAGAGGACAGGTAGCTTTTAGGCTTGGTATAGTAAATGTGGGATCAGTAGGTAAAGAAACACGCAGAAAAATCTTTTAAAATTATCACTTATTCTTTTAAAACAGACTAAAAATTTATACAAAGCAAAGTTGGTTAAACAATGCGGCATTTTGAAATGTCCACGTACTTCCGTTTGGTCACTTCTTGTTCTTGATTTTATAAGTTTTTTTCTCGCTTCCAATTACAGCCTTCGCTATTTGGACTTGCGTTCGAAGCCACCGGATATTCCATCCAGTCGTAAATCAAGTGTTGTAGCCGAGACCGCGTCCATGTACGGTCGATATCCGATGAGCTCACGCGGCCGTACCACACCGAGCCCAGTAGGAAGTGGGGGTTGGCAACCATTGCAGGTGGAAAGTTCATCCAAACCTAATTCGCCACGGACTAGTGAACCGCAACGTGCACCCCGACTCAGTGCCTTGTCTCATCCACCCTATCACTTGCCAAGTCTACGAGATTCTTCTGCCGGCCATATTGGTTCGGACGGTCGAGGTGGGGTTATGGCTGGTGCTGGTTCCGGTGGGACCAATACTGGAACTTGTGGACAGTTTAGTGTCAGTTTTGAGGGGATCTCAGAATCCGGTCCAATTGGTACACGACTCAGTCCCGTCGGGAGTAGCTGTTGGTCTTCCGAACAGCACATCTCCCCGGATTTGACCTCTCTGATGAGCAGCAGTACGAATTCGGTCTCGGCCGGACTATCGCTCAGTTCCGGACGTCATGCGGTTAGTCATGGAATCTATCCCAGTCAAGCACATCCGCATCCACATCCACATCCGCATCATCAGCCACGACCGTTGCAACGTCAACCGTCCGCTGGAACCGGATGTTCCGGTGGGACCTATTCCACCGATCACTTGAAATCCACCACTCATTCAGTCCGTTCGGCTCCTTTGTGTTTGGGTAGTCCAATCGAGGCGCGATGCTTTCGACAACTGAC